ATACCTGACTGAAATCTCAAATGCAAGTCAGGCAGAGTGCAGTGCTGTGTTATTACTGTCCCACCTGTTTGGCTCTGAGTGCAATTGTTGTCCTCAATGGGTGAAATCTTACAGCTGTGTTTGATTTACACCAATCCACATTTCTTGTTAGAAAGGGAAGAAATGCCAGGAAGTTCCCAGACTGCTCCCATTCCCAGTCTCATATCCCTGCTTTTTTATTTTTATTTCTTAATGCTCGTGTTACTTTCTAAGTTGATTTTGCACTCTGTGAGTTGGGCAGAACAGCTGTGTCCTTCCCAAGGCCTACGAACAAACGTTCAAAATGGCTTTAGAAGCACTGGGTGGTAAGAAGCCTTGCTGCTAATGCTTTTACTGTTCTCCGCTCTCGATTCAATTTGCAGGTTCAAGAGAATTATAAAAGGGTTGTGCTGAAGTGCTGTGCTTCAATTTTTATTTAATTGGAGAGAATGTGGCATTGTTACTGCCAAGGTACCGTGAAGTACGCTGTGCAGATAACTTCTCAAATACCAACTCCATTTATTGGAAGCTCTCAGGGAAAAATGCTCTGAAATTTCATGTAAAACAATAATTAAGGGCATGGCGACAGTCTCCCATTTGTCCAAAGTATTTTGTCATTCCTGAATGTATGGTTATGAGAGCCTCAAGTACTTCTCAGCAAGGGAATTGGAACAGAAGCATGGTTTCTAAGTTGCAGTAAAGCAACTGTGACTGAATAGTTCATTTTTAAAATGACTTGCGTGTTTCTAATGCAAAAAAGAAACGAAACAAATCATTGCAGCTCAGAATAAATACTGCAGGAATGCCTTTGGGGCTAAAATGTGTGCTTTATCCCTTTCGTGTTTCTCACCACATTGAAATCTGGAGGAAGTAAGCATGAAGAAGTACAAGCCAGACTGAGACTGCTGAAGTTGGAGGTGTGGGTAGCTCTGGGGTCCTTGTGATAGCTCTTTATTCGGGTTATTTTTGGTTGGCAATGGAGACTCCAAGCACAGAGAGAGATTCCCCAGCATCACTCCCTCACCTCCCACTGGATCTTATTTCAGTAATACCACAGATCTCTAAGCTGATCTCGTGCTCCAAAGAAAAATAAATGTCACTGTTGCTGTCAGGCTTCTTACAATGTACATAGCAGAGGTGAACTTGCATTTTGCAAAATCCTTTTGTTGTGCGTGCTGTGAGTTTTAATGTGCCCTGCCCTACTGCAGGGTAGTGGTCTAGTGCAGCTGTTGCTCATTGCTTTTAATCTGGACAGGATTAGTCCTTTACAGATTGTGAATAACTGTCATAGTATAGACCAGACAGAGATAGCGAAACTGAGACTTGGAGGATATGGGGAAAAGAGGAAATGGATACTGTAAGGTTGTTGGAAGAACTTAAGAACGTTTTAAAAAGAAAAAAAAGAAGCATGGCATGATTCATGTCTGTTCTTCAAAGTGGCAGACTAGAGCACTTGGATCAATGAAAAGGAGCTGTTAAGCATTAATACAGAGTGATTTCTGATCAAAATCTGATTGCAATGTTACTGCATTCTGTAACGGGTTGGGGATTTGCAATTTGTTAGGCTATATATGTACGTAAATTTATTTTATAAGCAGTATACCACCCTCTGTGGTTTGCTCCGGAAAGGGAGCTGCAGAAAGGACACACGTATACTTTTTATTTGTCTGAACAAATCTACCTAAGTGAATTTATTGCGCTGTTTGCCTGTTCAAATACAGGATGAGAGCTGTCAGCGTAATGCAACCCAGATCCTGCTCGCTGCAAGTCAAACAGTGGTGGGACCAAGGGCAGAGCAGGAGTCTGCCGACTTGCTGGACTTTGCTCCTCTCCTGGACTGCTTGGCCACATCCCCTTGTTCCGTGAGCTGTCACTGAAACCTAAGAGCCCAAAGCAGAGTGTGTTTGCAACAAAAGCCTGTGGCACTGCTGAGACATCTGCAGCCGGGTGCTTCCAGAGCTGAGTTTGCCTCAGAAATAAAAAGGGGCTGTAAGAAGGAGGGGACAGACTCTTTGGAGATAGGACGAAGGGGAATGGTTTCAAATTAAAAGAGGGGAGATTTAGGCAGGCTGGAAGGCATACAATTTTTACAGGAAGGGTGTTGAGGCACTGGGATGGGTTGTCCATAGAGGGGGTGGGTGCCACATCCCTGCAGACACCCGAGGTCAGGCTGAGTGGGGCTCTGGGCACCCATTGGAGCTCTGGGTGTCCCTTTTCATTGTGGGGGGTGGATTGGATGGCCTTTAAGAGTCCCTTCCAACCCTAACCAGTCTGTGTCACCATCCTTGTGTGGTTTGAAGTACTGACAAAGGTCTGCTAGTTTTAGAATCGTGTTGGTTTTGTGTTTCTCTATGAAACATTTGGACAGAATTCAAATCTTTCTGATTGCTTTGCTGTTGGTAAAAATAATGGCATTTCTGCAGCACCTTGGGGGTGTTAGACACAAGCCAGAAGTGTGCTCGAGAGCAGAGAACACTGCTGTGTTACTGCTTTGGCACGTAAACCAGGAAGGGATACAGTAGAATTAATTTTCTTACATAAACTTATTTGCTTTTGAGTTATGAAAAAGTTTCTGTATTGTCTGAAAAGTGAATGGCAAGGAATTATTAACCGGAGTTGCATTCTGGTTCTCCCTTTCACGGTAATGAGAGCAGTTCTTAAAAGATTGTTTCTGATCTGAACAGTTTTGGGTCTGCTGGCAAAACAGAAAAGGGGTTCTTCCCGAGTGATGTGTTGTTTGTTTTCTTTGCATGCAGGCATATTTTTCAGCCTGGAGATCAGAACAGTTGTCACACAGCCTGGCTCTAAGCGGTCATCCTTGTGTTTAGAAAGGAACCAGCAAACTCATACTGGCCAAAGGCAGTAATCACACTGTGTCCTCTCCTAACCGTGCTGTGTCTGCCCTGCATCACAAGAACACAAGGCAGTGTGGTATTAATAACTTCTGAAATCTGTGGGGATCTGTTTGAGAGCGTGCAGTGGGATGGACACCCTGCATACCAGTAAGCCAAGTCATGTTTGTAAGTTGGAGGTGCTTGAAATCAGGTAGGTTTTATTAAGAACCAAGCCTGTGACCTTAGAGAGATGCTGTGGGTGCTCCTCAGGTCTGCGTGCGGTTAAAGCTTTAGTACAGATACAGCCAGAGCAGCTCAGTGTCTGCAGGGAGATAGCTGCATGGTTCCTTACTGCTTCCTAGTTGGAAGAAAAGCAGCAGCTCTGGGCATTTGACTGATCTCTATTCAGTTCTGTTTCACGCTGCATAAAGAGATTGCTCAGGAATTCATTATTTTAAATCTTTTTTACTGCATCGCTAGAAGGAGCGCTGGCTGAATATAAAGGCAGTGCTAATGGTCATCTTTGTGTCCGTAGTGAGGTCTTCAGCATCACCGGGGTGAAGGTGGGCTGACAAATACCTTTGCTGATGACACAAGTACCTTGAAATAGAGAAGTGTGTTGGTGCAACCCTGTTCTTTCTGCCAGTACAAGGAGTGTTTGTGCTGCCTTAAAATAGCTTGTGATCGGCATTGTCTTGTAAAAAATGAAGCTGTTAGAGAGAAATCCCTTGTTACAAAGGGGCTAATGGAAGCCAACATATCATATTGTTCAAGCTGTTAAATACAGAATGAAATTAAGAGCAAATACTTCATAAGTACTTAACGGGAGCCTTCTGAGCTGGATTTGTAGCCCTGCAGATGTGCTTTCCTTCCCTTCCGTGTAGAAGTTGGTGTGTGCTGAGCAGCCTCTGCTGTGCTCAGGCACGTTGTGGTAGAAGAGCAGCTGCACATACAGGCAGAGCTACAGCCAGAACCCAGGTTGGTGTTCACTACAGTGGCTTCTCTGATGTTCCCCAGTAAGATAAAAGCATTGTCAGTCATTACTGAGCACAGTTGGACTGGTGCTATGCAAGCCACTGAGACAGAAGGTCATTGGCATGATTACAGAGATTTAAGGTTTGTAGGTGAAAGTTTTAGATGTACCTTCTTTGGGTTTTTTTTGCAATGTTCTCATAAATGCTGAGTTCAAAGGAGTCAGTTTTTCAACGTTTTGCAGAATACAAGATTGGAGATTCTTTTTATTAAAGAAATCTGTAAAACCAGTAAGCATATCTGCTCTGCTGCATAGTAAGAAATCAGTCAGCATCGTGCGCACAGGGAAATAAAACCTATGCAGAAATAAATAAATAGAAATCCCCTTCCCCCTTTTGATAGTGAAAACCATTATGATTCTTGTGCTTCTGAACAGGCTTAACTTTTCATTAATATTCAGGAATTTAATTTTGCTTAGTGTGCTTATGTAATTTGTTCTGTGTTGCAGTTAGCATAAAGAGGATCTGATGTTTAAGCGAAAAAAGCATTGCTTGGATGCCCTGAGTCATTGTCCTGATGGGATGCAGTGGGGTCAGGAGCTCAGGTCTCACACTGAGCCACAGGATGTGCTGGCCTTTGTGAAACACCCCAGCGGTGGTCCTTAGAGCAGAGAAGGATGGTTTCATAAATAATCAAAGCACAGTGAGAAGCATGTGATTGTCCTCACAAGACCTGCAGCCAAAAAATCAAGAAACAGAAAGAAGCTTCTAAAGCCAAGGGGAAGAGAGCCTAAACTTGGAAATATTCCTGATCTTAGTTTTGTTTTCTTTAGTTGAAAGAAAACGTGGGGGAAGAGAGGTTGTCAGAGCTGTAATTGTTACCAGACAAGTGGTGCTCAAAGGAAAGCTGCCAGCTGAAGTCTTGGAGAACTTGGCAGGAGCAGCACAGCCCTCAGTGCGCACGGCTTTGGAGGCTGATTTTGGAAGTACCGTACCAGTTAGACATCGGGTAAACTAGTGAAATGATGAACTGTTCTTGCCAGAGTAGCTCGTTATCACTGCACAGAAGCACCTGGGTTAATTGTAAGTTGTAATTAGTAATTATTTCCAACTGGGAAAAAAATGATAATGTCTTATCTCGGGCTGCAGCCCAGGTACACGCTGCTGTTAGGAACTTGTAATGCAGTCATTACAGGGGCAGCCTGTGGCTCTGTTAGAGTAATTTTTATAGCAGGCGCAGCACAGGCTTTTCCTGTACAGGATGTCATAAAAACAGCAAGAGATTTCATCAGGTATGTTAATGTCTTCCGAGTATCTTTCTTATCGTTTTTGAGTCCTCCTCCAGCAGCTGATATCTTTGTTGTTGATACTGCTTTGTGTAAGCTAACCAATGGGACCACGCACAGGAGAAAACTTTTACCATTAGATGATGTGCTCTTGGCAAAAATTAGCTCTTAATTGATCAGCTTCTGCAGTGCAGCTGCCTGGGTGATGGGCCGTAGCTCTCGGTAATTGCAGCCTGCTGCCCTTTCTTACAGGGGCAGTGATGCTGATAAGCCAGCAAAGCAGTTTGGGAGTGTGCACTGTTTTATTTTGGCCATAGCCAGATGAGCTCACCCCACTGATTCAGTTGTTAGTGCCCACCTTTGCATATTGTTGTTAGTGTTTCCCTTTGCGTGAGATGAAAGAGGTTTGTACTTCCCAGGGCCCTGGGGACCGTGCCACAGCTGGGTGGTGGGTTCAGTCCTGGGCTGGGTGGTTATTTGATGAGACGAAGTGCTCTCACCTGTGTGCTTCTCACTCTGACAGCAATTAGTGCCTTAATTCTCTGCATTTCAGCTGGCCTCATTTGACTCCCCATTCCAGTTTGTAGGCTTTTGATGCTGCTATGTGTTTGGGTGTGTAATTAGCTGAGTATTTGACTTCTACCTTGGTGCTGAATGAAGTAGCTGGTGCAGTACTAACTTGAGGCAGGTCTGTAGCTACCGTGCCAGCACCACCCAGGTCAGTAGTAGCAGCGCTCTGTGCCTGGCTGCCAGCGCTCACCGTGACGTGCTGTGCCTGCAGCAGCGATGCTCACGTTGTCCCTGGCTGTGTTGGGGCTGCAGGCAGCGCCTGGGCTCGCTGCACCGGGCACGTATGGCCATGTCGGGGCACGGCACAGCGCTGGCAGAAAGGTAAGGGGCAGGGCATGGTGTTTTCCATGTGGATTAGAGGCAGTTCTGATCTTACAGCCGAAAGCAGGAGGGAATCTGCAGCCTGCTGAAGCATGACTAATCACTTTGATACAGCGTTCAGCATTTCTAGTTTCAGGTCTGTCTTTTTGTCCTGTTGTTTGTAGCAATGAGTGATCATTTGTGGCATTTATGTAAGGTGTGTGCCTTAGTTCAGGTCATAAGCCCTTTACTTGGGAGCTACGTGAGATCTCTGGTTTCCTTGGAGCATTAGGGAGGTGAGCAACTGATGTTATTGCTGCTGCTGAGGGTGGCACTGTGCTAATAATTCTTATTCCTGAGAAGATGCCAACTAATTAATGTATTCCGTTTGCGCCTTGAACTTAAATGTATTTTTTAAATATGTGTATTATTTTTATGTTTTAAAAGGAGTATTTTGAACAGGTTTATTTGTATTGAATGGGCTTTGATTTGTAATTGTTCTGCACGGAGATAAACAGAACAAAATAAAACCAGATCAAATGTTACTAGTCCAAATATTTCACAGCAGGAGAAAAATGTGTTTTATGTACTGTATAATGATTGTTTTAGGGTTTAAAAAGGCACGTAGGAGCCATAATACATGCAGGCATTATTTAACAAAGTTACTGTAAGTCAGGTTCAGAACAGACTTGGCCAGCCAGGCTGGCATGATACCACACAGTGCACAAGGCAGTGCCAAGGCTGGGTTAATCCATGTTTGCAGACCAGTCAGAGTTTCCTGGGTGCAGGATTTGCAGTGTATCTCAAGTGTGATGGCAGCAGCCACTACGAACAGCGTCGTGTGATGTCTCTTCAAATCTGCAACCCTGGTTTTCATATGTGTGGTAATGGTCTTTCTTCTTTGCAGTCATTATTAAAGTCAAAACCAGAACGCAGCTGCAGCGGTTATTGCTGATGCTATCTGTCTGTTCTGTGCTCCCCTATCTTTTTTCCTGAAGATGATACCAGCATTTTACTGTCTGTTTCTCCTTTCAGCAGGCTGCGTTTTGCTATTTTTTAAGACAATAACAGTTTCCCAGTAACAAGGCAGTTTGCACCACTTAGAGCTTTTGCCATCAGAAACTCGCTGAGGATTTGTGCTGTGTTTTTGTGGGGGCAATTTTTGGACCGAACTTACGTGTGACATATTAATGCTATGTAACTCTTTGATCATTAGATGCAGATGTTTCAGCTGTCCTGACACTGACCAGGTTACTTTAACTTTGTTAGTACAAGGCCTAATTTGTTTCTTCTGCAGATTTGTGTCCAGCAGTTCTGATGGGGAGGAACTTGGGCCCAAATGTTTTCAGCTGGTCTGTGTCATCCCTTTGCCAGTAACCCACAGACCAGCTGAGAGCCCTCGTTTCAAGGTCAGGCTGACATCGGAGTGCTATGAAGGAGAAAAGTACAGTCAGACTACAAAGATAATCTTCTGACTTGGAGATGCAGCAGCAGATTTGTGTTGGAGTGCAGCATCACTTCTGAGGGACAGTGATGTTCCCAGGAGCGTGCACAGTGTGAGACTTTCACCAGCCTGTGAGTCTGTAGTGGTCTGCTGGTCAACCAAGCTGAGCGTGAGCTAAACTACAGCAACTGCAGTAGTTGATAAAACAGCCTGGTGTGATTTGGAATCATCCCACCCTTAAGCAAGCAGCAGTCATAAAGTACTGAACCTGCAGTCTTTTTGAGCCTCCCACCCAGTGCTCCTGTGTTCCTGCTAAACGAGCTCATCAAAATGCCCTGCTCCCACCTGGTACTGCTGCCTGCACAGCTTCTTATTTACAGCCCATGTGGTGCCTTTTATCCTCAGGAGGCAGAAAATCTGAATTGCTTTCCAGGGTGTCCCAGAGCAAGAGTTCACTCATATTTTGCAAGCATTAGGAGTGGACTGGGAGTAAGGCTAGCACTGACGATGGGAAGTTGAAATGTACAAATATTGCACTGCTAGAAGGGGAACAGATGTGCTGAGTTTATTTTCTCTTCTTCTGGCAGGTCACCAGCATCAGACCTCAACGTGGCATTGCATGAGTGCATGGCAGCTCTGGATTTATTTCTTAGCAACAAGTTCTCAGATGCTTTGGCTTCTTTACAAGCAAAGTAAGTTGGCTACTTTTACCAGTTTTCATTTGTTTATTTTCTGCTTCACTATCTCTCATAAGAATTAACTAGACATCTAGTTCTCTTAGCAATCATTTATTAAAGTGTGGTTTCAGTTCAGAAGGGGAGGGTAAATAATATATTAAAGTTTTGGGGAAGCCAGAATAAGTGCTTTGCACTTGGTTGAGTAAGTATTGTAAATGATCAAAGGTAACTACAGAAGGTTCTGAATTGCTGTCCAAAGAAGTAACCCTTTTGCTGTAGCACAGGATATGGGATTTTTTTTTCTCCTGAAAGAGTAAAATCTATCTTCTGACACTTGCTTTTTTTTCTCCTCCTTCCCCATATTTTCTTGCATGTAACAAGAGTTGGTAGTTTTATGTCAGCAGCTGGTAATGAATTGTCAAGCTTAGGGCATGTTACTCAAGGTTTCAATTCAGATGTATGAGTTTGGTTTGTGGCATGGTTATTATTGTTATTTTCTTTAGTACTTCACCACTTGCAGAAACTTTCTCATGGTTTATTTTACAACTCAGCATTGTGCTCATGTGTCCTAATTACACTGCTGCCCACCTGGAGGCAGTGAGGTCCAAAACTCCTAGAAATTGTTTTATCTTGCCAATTTCTTTGATTTCTTTTTCATACCCTGTCCTGGAGTTAGCTGTGCTCTTGGCTTGTTAAGTCATGTTTTTTTCTCCTCAGTTTGCTCCATTTATTTTTGAGCCATCAGCAAATTACAATGTTTTCTTTTGGATTATTGGAATATCAAGTAAAATTCATAGATAATGGAGGTTTTCTCATTTGCCACCTCAGTTTGCCATTTCCTTTATCCTTAACTGCATGACTTTAGAGGTGTTAGGAGATATCAGTGATCTGATGAGTCATGTAACCAGAGCTCTGGGTGTTCACATGCAGAACTCAGTGAAATGGCATGCAAACACTTTTCAGTAAACATTATGGCTTAGTGTGTACATTTGCTCAGACCTGTATGGGACCTCAGATATTCTCAGCAGCAGCAGGAGTAGCAGGTTGCATCAGCTTCTTTTCTACTCAGTTATTCTTTTACTTACCTCATTCATCCATAAATACAGTTGTCAGTGCTCTGCACCTCCTTCACTTCCTCTTTCCATGTCCTCCACAGGTTGTGACTGCTCAGGCAGGAGCCACCTAAGGGCAGGAGTGTGTGCTTGAAATCCATCAGGGATTAGTGAATGCTGTAGATCTGCTTTGCTTTGTTGAGGTGTTCACGTCAGTTTCTGATATCACAATCTATGGCTTACCAAGTTAAGTACACTCTGAAAGACATTCATGATAAATTGTAGGCTCAAGTGTATTGCTAGAATTGGTTTTAACTCACAGCAGTGTTGTATTGTGCTTATATATCATCAGAAGATATCATAAAATGGTAAGAAGAATGACTATTATCGTTAAATTCTGTCAGTAAAGCCCTGTGTCCATCTGGAAATACTTATTCAGTGCCTAGCATAAGATAGGGAGATGCTTAATTGAAAGGAGGTTTCAATACACTGCAAAGCCTAGTGAGGCTGTGTTGTTTTTTGAAAATCCATTTTCTCATATTGCATGTGGTTTCCGTCCAGCTTTTGTTGGGCCCTGTAGAATAATTTCATGAGCTGCTATTCTCTCTTTGTACCTGAGTGCATTGCGTATTGCAAAACAATTCTGAAACTCATTTTTCACATTAGCCTGTTGTTGGGAGGAAGCCTTTTTCCTGTTGTCCTTTGGCAGCAAAAGAAACGCAAACCTACAGTATTTGCAAGTGTGATTCAGAAACAAGATGCTGCATTTCCCTGTAGATGATACCCATCAGGATCCCCATCTCTTCAGGGAATGACTGGAGATGTAGAGTGGGCATATGTGGTAATGCTGACTGTTTTCTTTGGGAGTCATCAGTTCCTCACTGCTGCCTTTTAGTGTGCTGAGATTCAGAATTGATTTTCACAGTCCGTAAACATTCTATCTTTGTTTAAAGAAATACTTCTCAGTTTCTACATGCTTGTGAAGAGTATCTTATCCTCGATTTTGCAGCTTTACCAGTTGTATTGTAGGACATACTCTGCTCCATATTACATTATTGTATATTCACTAAATTACTCACATTTGGCTTCCACAGTGAGTGTATTTCCAACTGATTTGTACCATGTGTAACTGAGAGCAGATTTTGGCAATATATGAGAGTTAAAATCAGAAGATCTCTCTTTGCAGCTTAAAAAGAAATAGCTAAGGATATTGTCTAGACTTGTTGTTGAGATAAAGTTCTTTTTTCCTGTTAGGAAAATAATATCCTCCATAAAGATGAGATTTTGTTTCATAAAAATTTTAATCTGGTGTTCTTGCTTCATAGCACTGAACATTTTGTTTCCTGGAGCAGTTTTAGCCAAAAAAGTTTTAGAGTCAGTTTTCTTTCTTAATATGGTTATTGTACAACGATGGGCTCCAATTCTTTTTTAATTCCTGCTCTAAGTTTAATTAGCTTAATCTCTTATATGCAATATTGGTACTAGGTCTAAGAAGTTCAAGAAAAACATTAAACTCAGTCACCAAGCACAGCAGTTATTTTTAATATGTACTTTGTTAACTGTGACAGGGAGCATCAGTCAGACAGTCCAGTCACTGGGGAGGGCACACATCTTGTGTTCCTCCTCAACCTCAAGTTACAGCAAATCAATTAAAAGCTGACTATATTTTTAGCTCTCATTTAATTGAAAGCAGTTAATAAATGCTGAAAGAGTTGATTTTGGATATTTCTTATTCCTTTTGGTGAAACAAATGTTTGATATTTTAACACTTATCCTAAAGGAAAGAGTGGTGTAATCACCTGATATCAGATCATTTGGGAGAACAGTAAGAAATGAATTCTTGACAAAGCAATGTGGATCATTGGTTAAGCTGCAGCACATTTTTCTTGCTGCTTGTACAGCAGAAATACGAGAACGATTCATTCTGGGCAGTGGATTTTATTCAGGAAATAGTCTCCAAAAGCCGTTGGAGGTGTTAGTGTAATGTTGGTTCTGGAATGACTGTGTTTGAAAGGTGAGTTAAATCCTTTCATATGTGGATATGCCGGATGGGTTTGACGGCGTTCTGCTTTACTGCTTATCTGTTTAAAACTGCTGTCAGAATAGTGGAGGTGTGTGGTGCATATCCACTGTCATTGGAATTTTTAAAAATCTAAATTGCAATATTAAATGTTCTCTTGTGTATTCTGAGTTTTAGAGAGCTTAAGGAAGTTATTAGGATTTGAATAGAAACAATTTGTAATGACTGCCTTTGTTGTGTGGTAAAACGTGATCGTAGGATAAACCAGCTATGGAGTTGTTCATTGGGGCAGGGAAGTTTTATCAGAACTGTGATGGTCAAACTGAACAGTGCAAAGTAAGGGGAAGCACATGGAGGTATACTGAAGATCTAGGCTGTGTTTGGATGAAGACAGTGCAGCTCTACAGAAAGCTCAGGTTAGCTATTTATGGTAAAGAATGTCAAGAACATGAAGAAGGTCATTATTTCCACTTTTTTAGTGACTGGAGTCTGGAGGAACACAGCTTTATACTCTTTATAAAAAGAACATTTATTGCTGCCAAAACCTGACTTAATTATTTGTCTCACCTCCTAGCTGAAATTACTAGACTCTGTATTTTATAGAACAGTTTATTTCAAAAAGGCTGGAGGGTATTCTTGTTAAATCATAGCTTTTCAGCATAGACCAGATTTAGACCATTCCTCTGACTCGTACTGACTCGGGTTGATTAAAATGGTCTTTTCTAATTGTAAACTTAATGCTTGTGGGAAATTTTCATAGGAAATAAGTCTTTATTGGAAGATGTCCAGTTATCAAAATGGAGGCTTCCTATGGAAGCCCACGCAATAGTCTAGTGGGTTGTTTGGACTTGCTGGAATTTCTGGGCAACCTTTCAGTCCCCATGTGTCCACATCCCACTGAGGCAAGTAGTGTTTGAACCCTGATCCTGTTCCTGGATATGCCTTGATGAACATACTCTCAGTCCTTGCTGTTGGATTTGTTTCACTTGATAGGAGCATTTTGATACTAAGTTAGCACGCAAAATTGACCCTGGACTTTTTATAAGCTAGTGATAACAGGCAATAGCTTTGTTTTATAAGCTAGTGATACAAGCAATAGCATGTCTTGCTATTGAGTTACTGTTAAAGAATCCTCAAAAGGATCTTAGGCTCTGTGTTTCTCAGACAAAAGATTGGCCTTCAGTCAATTCTGAGGTTAAAACACACCAGGCTTTTAGGTTCACACCTCAACTGGAGAGGAGAGCTGTTGCAGTCTTCATGTAGGTGCTTGTTTCAAGTGGGAATAGGTGCCAGTCTTGAGGAATGGCAGTGCTGTAAAGGTGATAGTGGTTGTACAGCAGTTGGAGAGCAGACGTGGCAGAACTCCATAAATGCCTAAAGATATAAGCCTCTTATTCAGCCATGTGATACCAACTATTTGGGTAAGTGATTAATCAGAGCATTAGTTTATGTCGTAAAGACTGTTGAACTCCAGCAGTGTCCTGAGGAGGAATCGAAATGTCCTGCTGAGGAATTGAAAGCAAAAAAAAGAAAAAGTTATGTGCAGCAAATTGCTGGAGAGGGAAATCCCTCTTGACCATTGTGTAGACAAAAGTATGATTTTTCCCTTTAAAACGGTGGATTTAATGATTAGCTGCTTTGATTCTGGCAGCAAGTTTCTGAAATTTTGGAAGAGGTCTTTTTTAGTGCCTTCCCTCTGCTTTGAATTTGAAAGGATTTTATTTTAATAAATCTGAGGTGAATTGTGTTTATCTGTGCCAGCTGAGGCGGATGAGAAATCAAATGAACAGGAACACTTCATAGGTTGGCATGTTATAATTTGTTCTTCTTGTTTTTTTTTCCTACTTACACTGACAGTCTACTGAAATAATCTCAGTCTGGGAGACCGAGACAGAGCTGTCCTGACTCCATGGGATTTTAACCAATTTCTCAATTATTGGTCTGTTCTCCTTTTTCACTCTGCAGATGAGATGGATGTCAGCATGTTTGGGGGCCCGCAATGCTTACAGCAGTTGGTTGTTTCCCAAAATGGCCTTTCTGCTGGTTTGGCTTAGAGGTTGATTAGAGCAGCTTGTTAGGTCGATGTAATGTGTGCAACTGTGAGTTAAGGACAGGCAGAAAATGCTGATTTTTGCATGGTCTGAAGCTGTGCGCTGCAAATTTCTTCAGTACAGCCAGCCAGCATGCTGTGTGCCACGTGTCCTGGAAAAAGGGAGCCCTCTGGCACTGTGATGAAGGCTGGCAAGGGAGGTACCAGGTGTGTGTAATGCTGTCTGTGCCAGCACCAGGTGTAATTTTAATCCCTAAATCTGAAAGCGTTTCACAAAGTACGCAAGGTGGGTCATATAATTCTGGGATTTCATTTTATTGCATGTTGCCACTAAGAAGATTCTTTTTTTTCTTTTTTCTTTTTTTCCCTCTGGAAAACGCAACCAAACCTCAGGAACTCTTCAAGACAGTTTAAGATGTTTCACTCCATCAGCAAAAGAATCAGTGCATGATAGTGAATGGTTAGAAAGCTTAAAGGGGTTCAGATCACTGCAGTGAGTTACTGGATCACTGATGAGTGCAGGGTTGTCTTAAATTACTCCTAAGGTTATCTTTCAATGCAATCCAGTTATCTAAACCCAGAGGAGAAAGAAGTGAATTGGGATGTTGTGAAAGCTTGGCAATAGAGACCTTTCTGATCAGTCCTAAAGGTGTAAAGAATTGAAATAACAAACATAGCTCTTTAGCAGTGTTTATCTGAATTTGTCAGGAGTGAATTAGAAAGGTGCACAGGGATTGCCTATAGCAGGAACTCATCTGAGCTTTCCCTTCAAGTTGCCCTTGTTGGACATCTAGATCTGAAGATACATGGATTCATTAGCAGGTGGTTATAACATGGATACTAAGTGAATGCTGTAAGTGTGTGAGGTATATAAACCCTTCCTGCCTGAGAAACACTGCTGGCAATGTCTGCAGATTAGGATTGCTTGTATTCCTTGCATTCTTGCCATATCTTTTGGTTTTCTGTAAAAGGGGCACTATCTGAAGTCCCTCAGAATAGCATCTGAATTGAGCAATTTGAGATGGAAAGTTGACAGAAGGAAAAAGCCATCATGTCTGACTGGAATATTTCTAGTAGGAAATTCTATTTGAAGAAGATGCTACTTTGGCCAGGGTTATAGAATGGTGTTACTACTATACCATCTCCTTGAGTCTGTCCTGAGTAACTGTCCCAGAATAGAATGATGTCTGGATTTTGGTCATGCATTGTTGAGTTCATTTAAGTAATTTATTAAAGAGGAAAAAAAAGAAGTGATTTGTTTTCCCTGAATGGTTGGCCATGTGGTTAATTCCTGTACTTCATGTACATTTAGTACCTATCCTTGGCTCAGAATTGGAACATCTCCACAGTTATTGAAACTGGAGCTGTAAACATGATTTCCTACACAGATCAGAATCTGTTAGCATTTCTTGGTTTTATTAACTGTTTGCATGTCCTTCGTGCCTGATTTCTAATTCATTTAGACCTAGTTCCTGTCAGACCGATACGTTTCTGGAGTTGGATTTGTACTTGTTTTTTAAAGTAATAAAAACAAAGTAACTCTGCTTTGAATCTTGTGTTTTCTTGCAGAACTAAAGACAGTATGTATCATGCACTGACTTATGCCACTATATTGGAAATGCAAGCTATGATGACATTTGATCCTCAGGACATAATGAATGCAGGAAACACCATGAAAGAAGCTCAAGCCACCTGTCAAAAGTAAGTGTGGGGCAATTCAGTCACTGAAGCTGGAAGTTGACATCAAGAGGCCATCTAGTCCAACCTCCTGCTCAAAGGAGCCTCAGTTACGAGGTCAGACCACACTCCTGAGTGTTTTCAGCATTCTGTTCCTGAAAACTTGTTTACCACAATATCTGATTTTATTTTCTTTTTTGTCAATCAATTTTTGTCAGTTAGTTTTTTGTCCTGTCCATTGTACTGATTCTGCAGTGTCTGGAGGCTATTTACCATTTATAGGTGCTGCAGGATCATTCCATTTGGTGATGATTTTGCTGTAACCAGCTGCCTTTGAAACAGTGTGCACACGCACGCAGTATGATTCAAAAAGCCTCCTGATCCTTTCCACCATCGAAATGGGATTTTGTGCACAAAGGATAAAAGACAGATCTCAGGAGGGTCACATTAACAAAAGTTTACATGGGATATTCTCATGTTTGCATGCGCAGGGAGATGACAGTGGGTTGGTGAACAGCGGAGGTATTTTAGAGACTGCAAAGATAGCCAGCTGAAAGATACAGTTCTCATGTTCCTTCATGTTCAGAATGACCAAACTGACTTTTCTGCAGATTTAGGAAGAAATCTACAGTAGCTGACTCCATCAACAACCTTGTGCATAGACAAAGCCTTGAAAACTTTACTGAAGGTAACACTGTCTCTAATTTGTCTATGTTTGTTTGGGTTTTTCACTGGAATTAGAATTGTATAGAGTTGGCAATCTGCAAGAACACATTAGGTGAAAAACTCACTGATAAAACTGATGATTTATCAGCAATTGCTGGACTGGTGTTCTGGCAATTGCTATCTCACCATGTCCAAAGTTGCTGGCTGTTTTATGTTGGCTACTGACTCAGTATTTCCAAAAATTACTGCATAAGGAAATGCCTAGAAGTTCATGGGGAAAATGCTAGAAAGGTTCCAAATTCAAGAATTTCTGGAAATAATTAGGAAATTTCTGCAAAATTACTCTGTGTACCATTAGTGCTTGGAGTTGCCTTGGTAGTCTAGAAGCAGTGCAGGTAATTTTGAAACTGCTTTCCTCAGTTTGAGATTTGTGAGTTTATTCCTTTATTAATGATCTAAGTTTTGTTTAATTATTTTTCATCTGATTGATTTGTTTTTCTTCCATTCCATGTGACACTAGAGGAAATCCATGCAGAAATTTGCTATGCTGAATGTTTACTTCAAAGAGCAGCACTCACATTCCTCCAGGTATGGCTTCTTGCATAGCTCATTGCAAACAAAATACTATATATGTTCTCTATTAGAATTAATGAATTGTAGATGCTGTTATTTGACCCAATGGTGTACGACTCTTTCATCTGGATTATTCTATTTTATTTCCATCTTCCTTCTTCTTGACATGAGCAGCCTCTAGCACTGGGACAGTTCAAGTGATTCTGAAGCTATTACAGTAGTATTTTTTAGAACTTCCCCATTGTAACTGTAAGAATGCTTAATGTAATGTCTCTCAATTTTTAAGCACTGTTTCCTCGTTTATCCATCTTTAAAACTGCTTATAAATACATGAGAAATTACAGAGTAAGAAAACAATTTCCAATTTTCTTCTGCATCAAGAAGATCAGTTTATTTGCTTCCTCTTCCATTCTGTGCTCAATTTTTCATGAGCTCAAGAACTGGTTTTAAAAATTTAAAGACACTTTGTTCCAACAGCTGCTACAATCAGTTAATTTTGATGCTTTATGTAAGTGACCAAACCCAGCTGAAAACACACAGAAATTAATATCAGGATTTTGAGGGACATTTGGACTATTCTTGTGTTGGTTATCTCTGTTGCTGGTATCTTGAGTATGTAACTGAGAATACGTGCTTTGATGTGCCCAAGTCCTCCCTAACTAGTTCTACAGAACAAAGCAAAACAGAATCACATCATTGTGATTGTTTTGATTGGATATTATTGGGATTCAATTATCTGGGAATATATCATCAGGAATTGCATGTCTGCTTATGGTGTGCAGCTTCTGTCCTCATCTGTTGCTCTTGAAACCATTCTTTAGGACTGCTGGCAAAGGCAGGTCAGTCTGCAGTAGGAAGCCCCTATCCTTCAGTTTGGGCCAGGAGGCTTCTGATGCTAATTTGTAATTCAGTTTCTTCTAGAGTTTGCTTTTGGTAGGTTTGATAGATGGAGTTATTTTCCTGACTGGCAGAAAGATGGAAAGCTCTTTGGGCCAGATTCTGTCTCTGTTTACATACTGATGAGCATGACTGGGGCCCGTTTTCTTGTCAATAACAGTAAAGTGTTCATCTAATCTACGCTCTTTTCTGCACAATGTGTTGTACAGGCTCTAAAAATACCATAACAGAAAAAAATCATCTGCTAAAACACATGTAGCTTTCTTGTCCCAAAGCAATAGCACATATCAAAACAAACCAGAATAACAGATTAGATTTGATTAATGGAGCAAGAAACTACCACCAGAAATTTCTCAGACTAAAGACTTCTCTCTTTGGGATACAGCTGTTGACTAATGGTCCCCCAGATACTTTCCTGTAACTTCTCAGTTCATTATAGCTAGTAAAGTAGCATGCTACCGTACAAGTATGGGGCTCATAGATCAATTCAGACTCAATTCAGACCAGAAAGAGCATATCCTGTGTGACTTTGCTTACCCTGCTTCCTTTTTTAGGATATGAAACTATATTCTGTAGACTCTTGAGGACAGGCAGTTATTTGTGTTTGGTGCTGAGCCAGGAAACATTCAGATCTTAACGTGCTGAAGGACAAATGAGAGGGCTATTTTTCTGAAACAGCCATAAGTGCCTGGACTGTAGAGGCCATTCATTAGCTGAGCTCCCTGTGTTCATTACGGAAATTCAAATGGTCTGCAGGTCGTGGGGGCTCTCCTAATCACAGAAGGCATCAAAGTCAAGTGTTTGTGTGTATGTGTATATATCTAAACAGAGTAGAAGTGTTTAAATATAAAAAGGAAGCCATAAATCCATGTATTGTTTCTTAGAGAGTTGTACTGTGTGTGATGATGGTTATGTTCAGGGCATGTGTTCATCTTCAGATGGTAAAAGCTGTTCATAACGCTTATAAATTTATACTGCTTGTGTGTTTTCCTTTCTCACAGGATGAGAATATGGTTAGCTTCATAAAAGGAGGCATCAAAGTCAGAAACAGTTACCAAACATACAGGTATGTTAGAGTGGTGATAAAATTAAGTGTGCAAGTGTGAAGTCGAATTCTCCAATTCACAAATGAATCAGTGGTTTATTTATTCCAGCCTTTATTATGGGCCTTGCATCTAGAACCTTTCTTAGCCCACGTGGATTCCTTCTTTGCAAAATGAAAGGCACTGATGTTACGGTTGAGTTGGTTTACAAATTTGCATTAGGTAGGCAGGGAATGGAAGAAAAAGAGGTAGTGAACCCCTTCCCTATTAACTCACAAGGTTTGTCTACTTCAGATGAGGCTGTGCATGAAACAGATCATCAGGCATATAAAATAGCATTTCTTTATTGTTCTAGCTGCAGCCTTTTTTTGGAACATCAAAAACCAGTAGGTGAAGCGTGAGTAATTCCATTAAGAAGGCACGAAACAAAAAACTAAGAGAAAATAAACTGAAGAGCTTGCAATGGAAAACAGCTGACTTCAAAGAAAGGTCAAACGAATTTGCAGGAAATAGGCTTATTGGAGCTAATTAGCATAGAACAGATGCAGTCTTTCCACGTCACAAAGTCCCCAGACAGGCAATTCCTAGAGGATGCTTTCCCTAGCATGTGTCACTGTCTGTGTGAAATAGTGGGTAAGCTGGACCTTTAATCTGGTTAAGTAAGGCAGTTGTTGTACTCTAAAGGGAAGGTGCGTGCTATTAAAAATGATAAGCAGGTTTGCTTATCTGAACTTGCAATATGTCCATTACTTGGTGTCTAGAAGCTAAAAGCATGTGGGTAAGTGTATTTATGTTCAGGCAGTAATGGAGAGCTGTTTTCAACATGTGCAAAGTGTTTTGAAGTGCAGTAGTAAATTCTGAAAAGATGCATTGAAATGTATACTATGGGAAGCATGCTCAATTTTGCCTCAGTAAATTAAGAACAGTTTTAGTATATGTAAAAAGCTGAGTGCTATAAAACTAGTAGAACTTAGGTGGTCTCCTTCAAGAGAATGATAAAAACGACTTACGTATAACTAGAACATATTTTAACAAGGCAAGTTGTTAAGTGAGATTGGCATTTATTGTTTTTGTACCTTTGATGTGGCAAGAAGTAATTACTTGCAGCCTTGATGACAGTATGGTGCAGAAGGTTACAGAGAAAAATGATGAAATGAGACTTTATTTGCATTGATTGATATTTAGCACAACGAAATTGGTGGTATAAAAAGCCAGCCTTCCTTTCTCTGCTGTCAGCAGAGCAGCAGCAGAACCCCTGGCAGAGACATTAGGGGGAAATATTGCAAAGATGAAATTTTAAAAATTCTCTTTCAGGGCTGAAAATTTACCATATGCTATTTAAAAAAAAAAAAAAATTACATAATTTAGAAAGAAGCATTTGCTTTAAGTGCATAAAAAGTTTGCTTGTGTACCAGACACATAATGACATCCAGTCTGGGCTCCCCAGAAGGATGCTGAAAGGGAGAAAGGTGGCAGTGTCCACTTGTGCAGGCTGGAGGTGACCAAACACAGGTCCGCTGTAAATGCTGCAGTTACAATAAAAAGTCATATATCCATTAGCAACAGTCAGCAGATAAAAACTGGACAGCCTGAATAGTAATGTGTGGCTGCCATTAAGCAGTGTGTTGGGTTTATTCCCCCAGCAATAAACAAAACGAAGTAAAACAATATTGTGATAAATGTGTGGCTGTGGAAAGCTTGGGAACAAACCAGTTTCAGATCTGGTTGGATTATGCTGGGAAATAAGGGATATTACAGAACTGAGATCTATGACAATTAGAAGAACAAGTAGTAATTTCTGATAACCCATCCTTAATAATAATAATAATAATAATCTTTTCCTATATTTAACAAAATGTTCTTTTGAACAGGCACAAAATGAGAACACAATCTTTTGCTTTTTCAGGGAGTTGGACAGTCTCATACAGTCTCCGCATTATGTCAAAGGAGAGAACCATCTTCATTTTGAGGGAGGTGTAAAGCTTGGAGTTGGAGCCTTCAACTTGGTACGTACCAGCAGTTTTTCTCTCGAGCTGAAAGCTAGCTAACTGGAAGTGTTGATAACTTAAATACCTGAAAAGTTCCTGGACATCAGTGTTACCAATGATGCGGTTAAAGGCCATTGTTTCATGCCTTTGTTTGCATTCTGCTCTGAAAACAAGGGGTCAGATGATGGTGGTGTGGTACAGTTGTCTTCTGCAGCACACAGCAGGATACTTCTTGGTGGATCAGAGGCACTGACCCGGAGGTGCTGAAGGATGCGGTGGTTGTTGAGGTGATGGACTTCAGAAAGTGCCAGGTGCTTCCCTCAGTTTGCCTTAAGCAGTGTGAGAGTCTGGCGTGTGCCCTGATGTTGGATTTACTGCACAAAGAACAAATATGTACAGTGCAGTGCACACCCAGTATTTCTGGAACTTCCCAGAGGTACTGCAGTTACAATGTGTGCTGTATAAACATCTTTCTGTCAGGGAATCCTGGAGACACAGCAGTCCTGAGTCAAATGGATATTTCTGTTTAAATTGTATACAGAAGACAGCAAGTATATGAATTTACCCAGAACATCCTCGGATACATAAAGATGGTTTTAGTAATTTTTATCAACTATTTATTGTGTTTGGGAAAGTGGTGTAAGGCAGTCTTTAGCTGAGATGCAGAAAGTCTGCTACTGTGTAACTTGCTTTATTTTTTTTTCTATAGACACTGTCCATGTTTCCAGCACGAATTCTGAGATTACTGGAGTTTGTTGGGTTTTCTGGAAACAAGGTAAAGGTGAAATAAGTGTTGTTGGTGTATTTCCCTCACTGCTGAGTTTAAAAAAATATGAATAAAAAAGAGTCAGAAGTTTCTCTCTTCTTTCTTACATTAGTTGTGACTGAAACACACTGATAGCTGTCACAATATGTGCATTGCTGGCACTGGGAGAGTAACCCTTGCACCTCCTGCATGATATTGGGGAAAAAAAAATCCATTTCATTTCTGATTCATTTTTTTCTATGTCTTTAATGATCTCCACAATGCCTACGTTCTCTCTGCCTAAAGAGTAGTAACTCCTTTTTTCTCAGAGAGTAACCGGTCTGACCTGTGTTGCTTGTATATGTAGACTGTGGCCAGTTTAGCAATGAAGCACCAGGAAACTTACATGAACTGCAGTAATTTTGCACAGGGCAGATGGACAGAAAGTGATAACTCCCTCTGTATCAGCCTTGTGTGGATGCACTGTTTTGAAAGCAGGATACTGAATTATGGAGATCACTTATTTTATCTTGGTTTCAATTCCTTGAACCTGCCTTTGTCTGTTTGTACACTGCCACAATATGAGATTGATTCAAAGCTGGGTTCCTGTATTAAGGAAACATTAAGGTTCACTTAGCTTAATCTACTAGTTAAATTTATTTCATAAATGTTGGATAAGTTAAGTGTTTGATATCCCTCAGACACAGCAGAAGCAGTGTAAACAAAACTCAACTATTTTATTATAAAGCTTTCTATTTAACAAACAAGTTTAAAGGACAAAGAGGGTTCCTTAATCAGAGCTGTGCCCTTAGGTGATGAGTGGGCGAGTGTCACTGATATTTGATTAGCTTATAGGAAGGATCATAGAACTGGATATAAAGCATCATGTTTAAAAATAAGGAATGTTTGGCAGAGTATTAATTTGAATTTGGAAGTTTCAGGGAGGTTATCAGGAGCTGTTTCACAGGCAATAAAGGCAAAAGTCCAATCCTTTCACCTGTCTGTTATGAAAACAGAGTATCTAAAGCAACAGATTATCTTAGAAAATGCAAAGGTATTTCACGTACTAGCACAATTCTGAAAATGAAATCATACAGAATCACCAGTGCCGTGGGCTTGGAGGGACCCATCTAGTTCTGTGTTGAAAACTCATCCTGTTACTGCAGATGAAAATTTTCCCTTTAATTTCATTTCTGTTCTATTCCTTTGGCCCTGGGGTTTGTTGTATGGCTGAGAGTGGGCTGCTGTTTGTGTTGATGAGTCAGATCCTGTTCCAGTTTTTTAATATCTGTCTGAAGCATGACCTGGATTACCATAAATTTAAGCAAAAACCTGGTATTTGCACACCAGAAAAAAAAAAAACCATCTTTTTAAGCATATTATTTGAAGTTCATTGAAGGTCATTTATTTTAACATCCTAAAAAAGTCTTTCTGCATTTGACAATTCTAAACTAGATGCCCAAAGTCAGAAACAAGATTGCAGTTGCATTTGTAATCCTTTCCAGTGGAAGTTTCCCAAAGCTTGCAAGAGGAAGCTATCTTCTGCAGTACAATGGGCTTTAAGGTGAAAGAAACAATAATGGAAGAGGAGAGGAAGAGTTTGTGTTTCATGTGTTGCAGCCCATCTGAAGGAATGAATTTTGATTATGTCTGTATGATCAGGCAGTCATTTCAGTTAAGTGCTCATGGTGAGCACCAGGCTGTGCAAAAGATGAGAGAGCTGTGATTGGTGCCTTGAGCAACTCGTAGTTCACCTGGAAGAGGTATAGCATGCTGGAAACCAGACTGCTTTTGGTGTGACTCAAGTGTTTATTAAAAGTGGGTGTAAAATTGCATTAAGATATCTCCCACGATACTAATCTGCCTTAGAGCCAGCAGACTTGCCTCTAGTGGCTCTCCTTCTCTCTGACATGTCATGGCTGTTAGTCGTTGAGGACATGCCCAAAGCAGGATTAATTCCTCAGCCAGTTGTGGGCATTGCAGACATCAATTTAACTGCAGTCTGCAGTCTCAAAGCAGTAGGTAGGGTGTGATCAAAAAAGTGTAAGAGTAGCCTGAGGCTGCCTTCTTCCCTTCTACTCAAACAAGTGCCAGTTCTGCCATTCTCAGTTGGAGCTCCTTTCCCCTTGTATGGTTAGTCAAACTGAGGGCTTATTTGTGTTTAATTATGTGGCCTTATATTTAGGTATTGATGTTCAAGGGAGAGGAATGCAGTTTTGCTCCATTTCATAAGGAATTCTGTGTGTTGAGGTGTATACATGGTGTGTTGGCAGGTACACCATTCTGTACTGAGCAGGCTGGCTTTCTCCACACACTCAAGTAGTAGATGAGGAATGCATCCTATCCAGACTTCTTGTGTTTAATGATGACTAACTTCTGGTGAGCAGTCACAAGACTCCTGTGGCTAATATATGCTGTCATTCTTAGTTTACAGAATGCTACGGATATTGCACTGCTAAGCTGTAGAAAAGTTTGACATGAGTCAGCCATATGTTGCCTGCAACTCATCAGAGGGTCAGCTGGCAGCATGAATTCAGGGAAAGACTGGAAAACTTTCAGATAGAACCAATTTATTTCAAATTATACATTCTGATGTGGGAGGACACTTTTTCCCAAGGCAGCTGAACTGATGAATATTTTTTATGTCTCAGGTTATAATAAAATGAATTCCAATTTCCCACTGAGCATATTCTTGATTTACATTTCAGTCTCCTGCAAATTTGAAACTAAGGTTTCAAAGTTATTTGGGGATGTGTTCAAGCACCCCATCTACCAACTTAATTAGTTCTTCATAAAAGCTATTAGTGGTATCCATCCTTGCTACACCTTCAGTGGTGTGATCAGGTCATGGGACATGAGCAGTAAGCTTGTTTTGCTTTCTTTATATAGATTTGTAATTAAACAAGGAGGATATAATACAGGAGCTTTCATGTCAGGAAAATAGATGGATTTTAGTCACAGCTGATACGGTTATGAATCAGTCCACGTGTTCGTTAATAATGCTTTTGGGCTTTGTTGTGTTCATTCCACGTTCAGTGAGGAAATCCCCACTGCTTGCCTTGGGACTCCTGTTTGAGAGAATGTTGGATATCTTGCATCAAATCAATGGGATATCACTTCTCCTTTTAATGTAGTGACAGTATAGGGAATTTAGAGCATGGTATGTTCTGAGTAACTCACATAGAAAGATGAGGAGGTTTGTACTGGATCGTGGCATTTGTCTGCAAGCAAAATGTGTTGCTTCCTGCTCTGTATTAGACGTTATGCTCTGTGGAGTAGCCTCCATCTTGTGTTAATTTCATTTGAGTATTTTAGAGAAATTATTAACACTTGTTGGCTTTGATATTGTAGCAGTGTGTCCTGTAATAGACTGTTTGGAAGCACGTCCTGGTATTTTGGCATTGCTCCCATCACCAGCGGCATAGGTGTGGGAGTTATTTATGGCTGTTAAAAGGTACTTCCTTACAATTGCACGTAATGTACTTGCTTAGTGACTGGCACCAGTGAGTATAGTTTGTTTAGACAGTAACTCTTTAGGCTCAAGTAGCAGACTGGGCATGGAGATCCTCAGCTGATCCCTGCTGAGGATCGGATGGGTGTCACAACATTGTCCAACTCACAACTCCTTTTAGGTTTTCTGCCTAATCTCCATTGGCCCCTTCTGGAGGAGATGTGTTCAGTGAGGTGATTCAGAGAGCCTGACAGGCTTCCGTGCTGAGTTGTGCCTCAGTTGAGTGTGTCCATCTCTGCCAGATGCAGAAGGAGCCAGGGCAGCCTGTCTGGGCACAGTGGCAAAATTATGCTTCTCAGTGATAGCAGTCATCGTCCCACTTTGGTTGTCCCACCACAACAGAAGCAGTTTGCAAGGATTTGGGAAAGAGAAGCAGCTTTGTTCAAGCCTTCTCTGCAAGAAAGTATTGCAATACTATAAGAACTACTTCTCAATTTCTTATTTTGCAGACTGTGTTTTCTGATTATATTATTAATTTAATGTAGAAAGTTTGGGGTGTTCACATATCAGAGTAAAGAGTAAGCATTCTTTAATTGCTTGTGCAGGACAAAATAGGATTTTACACATCGTGCTTGGTGAGCTCCCCCAGTCCTGTGTAACCCTTCAGTTTAAGAATTTAGGCTGATACATGCCAGATTTTGGCTATCTTTTCTTTAGAATAGGCACTTTCTTAATGCATTTACATCACAGTTACGGCTTTCATAGTTGCAGTCCCACACGGATGGGTATGAGCTGCATTTCTTATATCATACAGAAGTTACCTAACCCTGGGGGGCAGGGTACTGTTGTCTGTAAAGGCTGAGTGGAATATCCAGCCTGAAGGACTTTGGAAATCTACTTTAAAGTTATGTTTTTTTCCTGACAAACTTCATTCTGCAGAGTGCTTTGTCTTCCACCTTGTCGTTCTGCAGTGCTACTTTTTTTTAGAGAAATCCAAGTGTTTGTTGTTTTCATCTGAGCAGTTGGAAGAAGTTGAGCGTATTGTATTTTGCAGAGGTTTTATATCAGTCAAACTTCTGCTTTCAGCAGAAAATGAAGTTGGCTTCATTTGCTGAGTGCTTGCTTTCCAGAAAGCCATTGATTTTCAGTAATGTTTTTCACATCTTTTAATTTCTTCTGAAGTGACGTACAAGTCAATATTCTCATTATTTGTACCCAGGCTGGATGTGATACTAACTCACCCGCAGATGTTTGTGACAGTGGTACCTTTTCCCTCAATAGTCATTAATGGCATAAATTAAGATTTATTAAAACTCAGTATAACTGTGTTTACATTTAGAAAAAATTAGCCACACTAGTTAAGCGAAAGCATTTGTATGGTGAAAATTGGAATATGATTGCAGGCCTCAGGGTTTATACTGTAAAGATAGAAGTCAGGCAGTGTAACACCTTTCCATTGGTAAGGACACATGAAAGATGAAAATCAGTGCTGAGATCGTGCTGTGAGTGCTCTCTGTGATGCCTTCATCAAGGGCTCCAAAAGACATCCCTCAGGGTCCCTATTTATAGTGTTTGAATTGGATATCTTTGTAGTGGCGTACGGCACATTCCAGTAATTTTCCACTGCAGCCATAGTGCACCTTTCTAAACTGCATTTTCCCTGCTGCAGAGTGACCATCATACTACGCATGTTTACTAGAAAGCAAATCTCATAGTTAATGTTTGCATATTTATAATATTGCTCTTGTTATCATGGAAGCTGTCCTGGAATGTGCTGCTAAATGCTGCTGCCTGTGGAGCTTGAAACCTTTGTGCTCACTTGGAATATGAATACAGCTTTACAATTGATGGCCTTAGTTCTTCCCAAAGAGAACTGAAACATTCTTCATCTTCCACCCATGATAGTGGTCCAGCAGCCCTGTTTCATTTGTTTATGTGCTTACTGACATCCTTCAGCACTGTTATCCTTTGCCCTCCTAGTTGCAGATTTTTTATTTCCTTGATATCTTTCGCAGAGATTAAGCATTAAGTCCTTGAAAAGCTGTTAGATGATTCCATGTGTTTGTGTCTCTGATTGCTATGTAAACTATTTGCATCAGTGTATTTTGGAAATTTGGTGAGTGAGCAATCTACAAATAACACTGCGGGAGTTAACAAACTACCAAAAGGTGACTTTGATTCTTTTCCAATCCTTTGTCGTCTTTACTCTGTCTGCACAGGAGCGTGGTCTGCTGCAGCTTCAAGAAGGAGCATCCTCATACAGCTTTAGGTCGGTGCTGTGTACCATGCTGTTGCTTTGCTATCATACTTTCATGACCTTTGTGTTAGGTAAGATTGCTTATAATATCTCTTGGATTTGATGAGTTCTTGTGGGAGATGGGGGGGGAAAAGATGATTTCATCACCTATGTGTTGGTGTAATGTTTGTTCATAATCAGATTAAATGTGCATTGTTTGTGGGTGGCTTTACAATAGTGGTTGTACCTGAAGAGAGTATCTTAATCTTCAAGATGGAGGTTTGTTTAATGCATAAGATGGGAGAAAATGGGGGATAAGAAAAGAAGTTAGGAGAGCTAAATCTGTCTTCTGTGGAAGTTTGGAACTTGGGAGATCACAATCGGAACTATAACTGAGATTACTTTCCTAAATACTTTGATCATGTTTCTATATTGTCTTTGTCTTTTTTGGGAGATGGTAACTTCTAACTGAGAGAGCACACTTCCCAGTTAGCTACTATTAGAAGTTTTTCAAAATGTATTGGTCTACACACTTTCAATTCATTAAGCACAGTTGTTTGGATCTTCATGCTTGCTGGCTTAGTGTAACACTGACCTGTATTCACACCTGATTTATGAGATAGAGGAACTTCTGGGTTGGCCAGATGAAGATGGCTATCAGTACCTTGCTTTCCTGTTTTGTCTTGTTGGGTTTTTTTCTACTTATTATTTTTTATCACTTGCATTTTTATGCACTCTAGGGACAGGAAAAGGAAATGTTGAGGAGGCAGAAAGGCTACTTAAACCTTACTTGGCTCGCTATCCAAAGGTAAACTGAATCATAATTCGGATTGGTGTGATTGCTTGATGTTTCCCTGCCAAATAGCTAAGATATAGACTGTATAGTCAGCTTGAAAACTGTTAAAGAATACTTGTATTTTTATTATTATTTATTACAGGGAGCCATATTCCTGTTTTTTGCAGGCAGGATAGAAACACTGAAGGGTAATATTGATGCGGTAAGTAATAAGTAATCCATTTGCTCTTGAGAAAATAAGCCTCAAAAGCTTCAGAAAAACTCCTCCAAGAACAGTGTTTCCTTCTTGTTTTATGTTTCCTGTAGCTTTGGCCTGTATGAATTTATAGTTCATAAATTACAAGTCAGAATTTTGAGAACTATTTTGACCAGCTTGTTGGACCAGCTTTTGTCACTACCCTTGATTGTGGTGATAACCTCATCTACAAATATCAGTGACACAGCTTCCTCATTATCCTTCATATCCTGAAGCAAGTCATACCTTTAGTAACATCTCATGATAATATTTTGCCTTCTGCCTGAATGGAGACTCAGTCATACAAAGCTTGGAGAATGCATGTCCAAAATATTCCAAGGCTGAGTATCAGCTGACTGCAGTGCTATTGCTCCTTTGGAGCTATGACAGTAAATGTTAGCTGCACATCTGTCCTCTGATTTTACTTTCCCAATTTCCCTAGGGACTAACATTCATTTTGCCTGTATGTAGGACTGACTATACAATCCAAGAATGGGAAGCTCTGTGGCAGGGATGAATTTGCTAAACCCAGATTGACTGTGGAGTCAAGGATCTCTTACATGAAGCCACCAGATATGATCTTGGGGAATGCTGGGTTGTTTTTAATTAGAAAGTTGCAGGAGCAACTATGAAAGTAGATCATGGCAAGCCAGGTTCTATTACATACACATGTGATTAAGGCAGTATCTGGAAATCTCTCTGTTCAGGCAGTTAATAGGTATGAAGAGTGCTGTGAGGCTCAGCAATACTGGAAGCAGTTTCATCACATGTGTTACTGGGAGCTCATGTGGTGCTTCACCTACAAGCGTCAATGGAAGATGGCCTTCTTTTATGCAGATCTGCTAAGCAAAGAAAACACCTGGTCAAAGGTAAGTTAAGCAGAACGAAGACAAAGTGTTGAGTGGCACACATAGGGCCCTGTAGTATCCACTAACTCTTAATCAGATAGAGCTGGCTTTCTGTAGCTTTGAGCTGGCTGAAAACTGTAAAGCACATTCTGATCTATTGTGGCTTATAAAGCAAAGTGAAGTGTGAGCATTCAAACCAGTGCAGATTGTGGGCAAGCAAAAATCTTTTGAGCCCCATTTGTAGATGAACAACCTGCTAAATGTGTTCTGCTGTGTATTGACTGTTCGTTTCGTCAGCACACAGCAGTTAGTGGCAAGCTGCCATTTCTCTCATTGCTTTATGGATATAAGTTCTGTTGGTGATAAGTGAGGCTCACTGTGATGGTGCCTTTCTGATAATAAATGTGATCAGAAGATATGCTGTGCTGTGTGCACGTGAAAAAGAGAACTTCTCAGGTTCAGAACCCTAATAGCTTTTCCTCACCCTTCACCTGAGCCTTGGGGAAATCTGTCAGAAGAGTTTTAATTCTGGTAGGTGGGTGCTGAGGTTAACTGGAGTTCACTGGTTTGTTTCTCTTCAGTGTGATCATGCTGTTTTGTTTTTTCTACTACATACATTGCATGTATTGACCAAATACAGCCACATGTGAGCTGGGGTCTGAACAGCCAGATGAGGGCAGCTCACACAGTGCTCCCAGCTGGGTAAAATCTGCAGCAAGGACTCCTTTTGCCCCTGGGAATTCCAGCAGTGCTCTGAGCCAGATGCATTGGCCTGAATAGCTCCCACAGGTCTGTTCCTTAGTAGAGGAGCAACGCTTGACCAGAAGCTCAGATATCCTGAAACACTGTATGATTAGTATTAATGTGTGTCCTTTTAAACTGTGTATAGATTTTGGTCATATATTGCAGGGGCCTTAGGGCAGCAGAGAAAGTGCTCCTGTTAATAGGAGCAAAATAATAAATACATGAACGAAGTGAATGATGGTCATGTAAATGGACTCTTAGATCCTGATGTAAATAAATAGTTCAAGATTTCCTAAAAACTCCTGAATCTAACGGTTATTAAATCTCCACAAAGCAATACTCAAAACTCACAACGGTTATTCTGTGCCATTCCATATGCTGTAACATCCTGTGTGCTGCTTTGCCTTCTTCAGTTGCTCAGAAATCTCTGTGAAATCGGTACATTTCATAATCTGAAACAATGGAATAACTTAAAAACTCCTGTGCTTTTTCTAGAGCTTTAATACTTGAGATATGATTCAAAGTTGTGACTGATGCACAGACTACATGTTTTCTGTTGTTTTTTTCCTCTAAGTGTGACATTTTCTTAAGTTTTCTAGTGTGTATTTTTGAGAGTAATAAAATAATTTACACATGATACAAAATAATTTACAGCATGATATTCAGTTGTACACTTGTTCATGGAATGCAAACATAAACTGATATGAAGAAAACAAAGATGCGTAATTAGCAAAAAAAATATTACTCTGCTTTCTAAAATACTTATCTCCTGCTTAAAATTTTTAAGATTATTTCTGTTTGTGAGCAAAAGCAGCACCTTCTTCATCTTTGTTGCTGTTTTGTTCTGTGTATCAATAGTGGTGATTGCTGTAGGTTCATTTTCCTGTACAGATATCCTTGATTGCATTTGCAGGCTACCTATATTTACATGAAAGCTGCTTATCTCGGCATGTTCGGGCCAGATGACTGCAGTCCTTTTGGAGACAACGAAGTTGAATTATTTAGGTAAAATTCGCTAATTACCAATTGCAAGAGTTTTGTATCAAATCCCAGTGTTTGGGGAAGGGAGGCAAATTTATTCATAATGCAGTTTGGAAGATCTGCGCAAAGAACATTGGAATTGGTAAGAAATTGCAGAATGAAACTTTACCTTCAGACTGAAGGAGACCTTGAAATGGAGGCAGCAGATTTCTGCTGGCCTGGGAGTGCTTTAGAGACAGGATGTTACTTTTATCAGCCATGCAGTGGCTGCTGTATTTGCATGTAGCATTCACATTCTTTCCACTTGTTTCCTTAATCAAAGTGGCATGTAAGATCAGAAAGGCTTCAAGGGATTATGCTGCAAGATGGATGCCTTCTGTAGCAGTTAATGGAGACAATTTGATTTGGGGATTTTGAGTCTGAGAGAAATATGAAACAGTATCCACTTGCATATGTAACTTTCATTATTGACACAGGATCCTAACCTAATTGTAATGAGCAAGCACAAAAAAGCCTGACTGTTGCTGGGCCAAACAAAACCAACTACTTTGTTTTTGGAGTCTATTTCTGTAAAATTTAAATAACACTCATGCTCACAATATATTGATTCTTCTCAGATGTTCCATATCGTAAATAATCATTACAGGCAGATTTCATTGGTTTTCACTGGGATCCATTGCAAAGGGAATCAGTTTTGGTCTTTGGGAAAGAGAGAGCCAGCTTGCCTCTTTCTCACTCTGTGTCCCTTTAAAGTTAGGCACATCGTCATCTAATTCTTTTGGATGGGGAAGAGTTCCTTTCTCTGCTTGATTGAAATGGAAGCCCAAAGAGATATATGCATGCCCTGCATAAATAGCTTTTGTGAATATGTATTGCTCTGCTTCCCCAGAGATAACAATAGCTCAGTATGTAACATCTTTTCTAAGTTCTTTGACTTCATTTATTTATTTTTAAATATGGATGCCATTATCCCAGATGTTCCTGAAGGAAAAATCTCTTACGTTTCCTTTTAAACTTTCAGAATTGTTCCCAGCTTGAAACTGAAAATCGCAGGGAAATCACTGCCTACAGAAAAGTTTGCCATTCGGAAAGCTAGACGGTATCTTTCTTCAAACCCCGTTCCTTTACCTGTTCCACCTTTGGTAAGCTAGAAACCTTTCCTCCCCTCACTCGTATTTAGGCTTTTATTTTCTTAATGGAAGGAAAACCAGGGTAATAGGAATAGTATCTTTCCATGTTTCTAAGGTAAAACCTCTGCAGGAGGCTGGAATGTTCCCAAAACAAAGCCAAATGAATGCAAGGAATGCTGTAAAACTGGGGCAGGCAGCAGCCACAAGGAACTGAGCCAGTTGTTTGTGACACGTAAATGTGTTGCATGTGTAACTCATTATTCCAGCTATAGACTAACATGCTCCTAACAGCTTTCTTTTAATTACCTTTTGAGGAACTTTGCCCTGGGTTCTTCTGTCACGTGTCATTTATTGGCACTACTAAAAGAAGACTAAGTGAGAAAAAAATGAAGAAAACAATGCAAGAACTGGGCACTCCATGTAAGCATCTGCTTATGTGCCCCTGAGCGTTTGCACTGTGGTGCCTCCAGAGCACCTCGGTGATGGGATGAAGCATGGACATGTGTCCATATTGGCTCCAGAGCTGCTCTGCGTTGTTAGTTGTTTATGGTGGTGGTTTCTTTGGTGTTTTTTGTAGTGTTGCCCAGTTCCCTTTGGCCAGGTAGGATCAGCTGCATAAGGCTCCACCCATTGCCTGGTTCACACGGTGCTTATAAAATCTCTCTGTAAATACCAAATAAAAGAACATAAAACATAAAAAGAACAGAAAAGATTTGCCAAGTGCTGAGGAGTTGCCTTTTTCAGTGCTGTGTGCTGCTTTATTTGAGAAACAGATGAATAATTAGTAAATAGTCTTTAAGAGAATGTCTGAGCAGGGAGAGCCTGTTGGAGATACCAGTGAGTAATCATTTCTCAGCCCACCAGCTGGATATGTGACACAGTGCTTCCTGAAGAAATACAGTCTCCTGAAGATAAGTTACAGCATAATGTGGTTATTCACTAGAGGCCGCTTTCCACCAACTCATAAGACTTAAGATGAGAGGAAATAAATAGGCGACATTCATTTGTCTCTCACGTTTCAGAGACCGTAGAGAGTGAAGAACTGTATGCACCTGGGGTTTGTTTGGGCTGTTCCAATGGGATTTTAGCAAAACAGTTCTGTCCTAAAGGCTTTCCTTGGGCGTCCTTGTGGGAACGCAGCAGTCTGTTTCTGCTGCAGTTGCATATCTGATGCAGCAGATGTCACAGCTGAACAGTTAAAGATATGCTGAGGTTGTGGAATAGGGTGCAGAATCCCATTTCTGGAATTTTTCTTTACGTTGTGAAGGGACTTGCTAAAGGAGAAAGGTCTTCACCTCAGTTATTTAGTCTAGAAGAAGTATAGCTTGAGTAGTTCTGCAATATTCCTTGGTATTGAGTACAATCAATGGCTCTTTAGTTGTTTTCCAGTACTGGTCCGCTCTGAAAACCAGGAGAATGTTTGCAATGGCAGTATGTTATAACAAACTGAGATTTTGGTTATGGAATCTGTAACTTTTTCATAATACAGAGATAACAGAAATAATTGATAGTCGTTTTTAGCCAGTGATATCATTAACAATGCAGTCTTCTTTCCCTGATCCTAGGAGATGATGTATATCTGGAATGGCTATGCCGTAATTGGACAATGTCCCAATTTAACAGAAGGCATGTTGGAGACTTTAATCGAAGCAGAAGAAGCATTGGCAAGAGGTTCAGGTAATCAGTGACACGGTTTAATCAGGTATTTTACACTGCAATAGCTAAAGATATTATCTGTGAATAAAGAGAGACACTTGTTAGTAAAGTTAATCTGATCACATGAGGAAGGCAGATTATGAAACCATGAACTGTTAATGCAGACAGGAGTAAATTTCCTCTTTGGTCATAGATCATACCAGCACTGTCACTGATAGTACTAGCAAGCTATTTTCCATCCACAGATGTATATTAGGAATAGTTCATGACATATTGAAGGACTGTTTATTTTGCTAGATCAAAATCAGTGTATGAACTGACTTGATTACTTAGATCATTAAGGTTTTTTATTCTTAGATACTGTATTTCAGTTTTGAAAGATAAATAGAGGTGAGTGTCTGCCTTTGGTTCCAAAAGTGCTGTCAGCTTACAGCATGACCTTGGAGGGCTGAATGTTATTCGTGTGTCAGAAGCTGGGACATGAGGGATGGGCTCCCTTTGCACAATAAAGGAACATAAGAAAGGAGATAATATTGAACTACAATGCTACAATGTCACTCAGTTAGTTACTGATTTATTTCTTGCCAGTATTTCCCAGCACCTATGGAATTGCAGCCACAGCTTTTCTCATAGTTTCCCCTTAGATAAATATTTGATCTTATGTATTTCCTGTAAAAGGATTTGGCCCACCTTTACAATGGAATATGGGTTAAGTCACTGCATTGCAGTGTTTTCTAGGACCTTGGTGCATTGTTACACAAGTACTCTTTCAGAAAGAGTTGCTGGACAGAATGGCTAAAGCTTTCTCCTTAATTATTTGAGGACAGAAAAATATTTCCCATGAAAGTGACATCTTATTAAAAGCAATTTGTCTGTCTCACCTCATCACACAGTTTGCAACATTACTTGGGATAAGTGAATAATTTCTTCTTTCCTAACTGGTAAATATTGAGTACAGCTGACTTTGCAGGGATTTGTGGAGGCAGATTGACATCTGTAAAATGCTATGAGGACATATAATTGAAAAGGGTGAAATATTGTAAACATATCAGCAATGTGAAGTGTTACTTGTTACAAATTATGGTCAGCTGTTTCCAGGCATCGTGCTTCTCTTGAGCTTTCCTGATGGTGTTTGAGGCTAAACTACAGCCTTTTCAAATATTTTCTTTCTTATTTCTGGATTCCTAATTCAAGAATCTACCACTGTGAAATCTTCAACTTGCAAATGTGCTCCTGACAGTATTACATGGATAAGACGTGGAAATAATTCTGTTAGTGGAAATTCAGATCTGCATTTCCAGGTGTTGTACGCAGTTGAGTCTAGGATCAGTCCCTAAGTGTTTTTTTAATGCAACTGGGGGCAGTTTGAAGGCTGTATTATAAGTAGAGGAGATACTTCCATGTGAACGTAGAATCATTAAGGATGGCGTAGTTTTAAGGGGTGCAACAATTCCATGCAGAATGTGTCAGGATTTTGTCAACTGGGGTGACAGAGGAAGAACTGGGTAAAGGACCACTGTAATAGAAACAGGGTGAAATTCAGCACAAGATGCAGTGCCATTAGTCAGATTTCTTGTTAGCTGATATTTCGTTGTACAAGTTGGTGATAGCATGAAGCTACCCTGAATGAACTTAATGGGTCAGTTAGTTTCTTCTGCCCTGCGTTCCAATAAGTAGATTTTATAATACTTTCCTACGCACAGGAAAACTTTTACACAAGTCTGTACTGCTCTAAAATGTTTTCTAAAATATGTCATTTACTTCATCTTGCAGCTACAGAATTACTAGCAGATGACCAGTGTGTGATAAAACTGCTAAAGGGTTTATGCCTGAAGCATTTGGGCAAAATCTCAGAGGCAGAAGGCCATTTTAATTACATCTACTTGAAGTAAGTTGTCTACCTGGCATGCTCTTGAATTTCTCAGTACCTGCTCGTTTCAAGTAAGAGGAGGTGCAACCTTGATGTGAATAGAGAGGACAACAGAATCTTTAGTATTTATTTCACTTGTTTCAATATCCAAGGGCTCACAGTTTTAATTGCCAGTATTGTTAGCCATATAAGGAGGAAGAATTGCAATTCTGCACTTCTTACTGATACTTTCTTCTCTTTGGGAACTACACACGCATACAGTTTTTGTGACACCGCTGTTTTTTCCTCCCTTTCCTCTTAGCAGTCAGAAGTTATGCCTAAAGAACCAAACAGTCTCCAGAGATGATTGGCAATGTGATTGTATTTGGAACCCCTGTATATTGTGAATGGGATCTCTTTCTCAGTTCACACAGTGCTTATAATATTATCACCTTTTTTAAAATTTCCCCTATAATAAATGCCAATAATTTTTAATCCCAGGAAATAACACATTGTGTATGATGGTTATGGTAAAGTACACCATTTAATAACCCAGAAGGTAGCGTTGGACAGAGAACACAACAAATGTTGTAATAAAGATTGATTGCTCCTCCTGATCTTAGCTAATCTCCTATTTGTTTTCGCTTGGAGCTGTTAAGTGAGTGAAACAATAATTCACTTCAAGATCTTGAGGCTATTTCTTTTCCTATGCAGTGAGAAGAAGATAAAATACGACCATTATCTAATTCCAAATGCCTTGCTGGAGCTTGCATTGCTGTATCTGGACCAGGACAGGAGAGAAGAAGCAATAAAACTACTAGAAAGAGCAAAGTAAGCAAGTTAAAAGCCTGGTCTGGTGGGTCGGTATGGTGTGTTACTGATGAGTAGGAAGCAGAAACATTAATACTATAGAAACTTTTGTTTATTCAGTGGAAGCACACATGCCCTAGGTTTGGCTGGGACCTTCTCAGGTAGTGGACAGTATCTGATAGCTCAGTCTGTGAGTTACCCATCCATTCTAATAAGAGCAAAAATAATTTTGAGGATGTTAATATGAGTGTTAAGGACTTCCATAAGAAATATATGTGTAACAAGGTGTAATTTTCTTTGTAATGTATTTACTTATTCATAAAAAATGTATTAAATGAAATCACAGCTCTATGTTAAGACTGAAAAACTATTCAGATTGGTGGCTAACAGTGCTGGGCTTTTTCCTGGGTGAAATACATTTAAGAAAATGTTTCAGTGTGCATTTAGTATCTTTGCATTTTCATCTTCACAAGGCAGCTGGAACACCTGCTGTTGGCACATTTGTCATGACTGATTTTTCTATCGAAGCAGGTTTATCAGGAATTGTTGGACTTGATCTTGTACGTTCTTGGTTATAAACCTAACAAATCTAGTTTTGCCTCTGTCCCAGTCTGCTATGCTTTACTGAGCCAAAATTGCTATCTGGGGAAAAGAAAGAAAAAGAAAGGAGGAAAAAAAAAAGACATTCCAAACCAAACAACCCTAGTCTCCTTCAGGCATCTTGCAGCAGGGCAGTTCACCTCTCCGCCTGGATGCTGAACGAGTTCAGATGTCTGCACGTTTCCAAGCACAGTCACGCCAGCCACTGCTGCAGGTGTGCAGCTGCAAAGCTGATCTCTGGCCCCATCTTCCAAAAGTCGAGGGAGGTTTTGTGTCGGTCTCTTATCCGAGTCAGTTCACTAAGAGTGGTGAATTAGCCTGCTGAAGGCGATGCCAAAAGTCTGTCAGCACAGAAATTACAATACTGCAATCCTTAATCCCCTGTGCTTGTGAGCCTGGTTCTCTGTAGACTCATGGAAGATAGTAAGGGCAGCAAAAATTCTGTTTGTAAAACGCCTCAAAATGCACCTTGCCTCAAGCCATATTTGAATACAGATTATTCAAATCTTAAAAAGAGGTCCAGAAATTAACATTACAGGGCTTCTCGTTCTGTCCAGTACTGCTGTCAGTTCCCACTCAGCCTTTTTCACCTGGCAGCTTGTGTGGCTCAGGTCACAGTCTTCTCAAGGGAAGAAGTTTGGCTTACAGGAGAGCTCAGCAGATCACAGCTTTTAAAAATTTGTGTGTGAAAAGCTAATGCTCAGGCTTGTGGCACTCTGAGAACTCACAGGAACTGTAACAGTAAGAAAAAAAGAAAGGTCTTAGAATCTCAGACTCATTGAGGGTGGAAAAGGCCTCCAAGATCACCAAATCCAAACCCAACTCACCCCACCAAGCCCACTGGCCACGTTTCACAGTGCCACATCCCCACAGTTCTCCAACACCTCTGGGGACAGTGACCCCATGCAGCTGCTAAGTTACCGCCTGTAGCTGCTACGTCCCCAATCAGAACATGCACAAATGTTTTATGAGCCTTCAGCTAAAAATGCTGAATGTCTTTCCAGCCACTAGAGGGAGAATGCGTTGTCTGTGGTGGGTTTCAGAATTGCAAAACTGTGTTCACTGTCGGCAGGAGTGGAAATGAGTGCTCTGCTTGTGTGTGACGCTTGATTTCCTTGACCTAAATCTACATGCTGCTGCTGGCTTAAATGTTTCAACTCTAGGAGAAAGAGCAAAATGAGATGATAAGCAGTTTTGGCTTGATCATGCATGGAAATATTTATATTTGTATCACCACAAGCTACAAGCAGCAATATCAGCCTGCTCATGAGAAATACAAGAGGCATTCTTTAATATCTGCGTGACAAAATCTAGCTAATTTTTGGTAGAAACTCCAGAGTGTTTCAGATCAGCATACAGCACAACCCGTTCATTTCCTCTTCTCAGTCAGCCCCTTGAGTGCTGCATGCATAAAATTATAAGTGGGGATAGGATGGGCAAGGAGTGCCTTGTACTTGCTGAGAGGCTGCTGTAGTGGCAGATGCTTGCCTCCACGCTTCATTTGAATTGTGAATTTTGAGCTGGAGTGTTTTTAAGATTATACAGACTGCTTAATGTGTGATGTGACGTTTCTGTAAAGATGACAAATATCTGCTAAAAGAAAATTACCCTGCTAATTTTCTTATCCTCTTTGGTATTTGGATTTTGTATCCATCCTGCAAGAGCTGAAATGCTAATTCCTAGTAAGTAGGATCTGCATTTTCTATGTTTTTTTTCCATGAAAATACAGATTCTTCTAATGTGTCTGTGGCTCTTCAGGATATGACTTAGCCACAGGAGACAGCAGGCAGGCAGCACTGCTGAGTCAGCTGCTGGATGTTTATGGGGAGAAGTCCTGCCAGTCTTCCTCTGGGCTGGCAAATTGCTCTTCGAAAGCAGATATGAACTCTCTTGTGTACCCATTTTCCAAGCTTCTAGGGCAGCAAAGTGCCTGGCTTTGTTTCCTACACACAGTCCTCATCCATGATAAGGTGGTGATGGGGCTCTTCCCTCAGATGAGGAGGGCTTGCGAAGGTCTGTCTGTCCTTAAGAGTGCTTTGTAGGCAGCACAGGGGAAGGTGTAAGTACCACCTCACAATAGGCTTCAGGTCTTCTCCTGAACAACGTGCCTGAGAGTTGCTTCAAGGCTGAGCATCAGCCCATCTCCGTGTCTTTGGCACACACAACTTTTTCTCCCTGCACGTTAGTTCTAATCCATTTATTTTATTGTGATTTGGCAAGCAAGTTTTAACTTTTTCGGCTACTTTTAACTTCTAAACTTTTAAAAAACTTAAAAAAAAAATAAAATCTGTTCAAATTTGTCAGTTGTACTTTGGGACGACTGATAAAAAACTAATTTCTGAATGTAAGCTGAGTAGATGTTATGTATATTTAATGTTTTCAAATATTTTTATTGAGTAGAACAAATCCAGTTCTTATTAAGCTGTATTTTCTGGTAATTGCCAGACAGTAGAACTACAAATAAAGAACAAAGAGCTGCATTGTCTGGCTAGCAGCACATGCCATGTATTTTACAGTAAGCAACAAAAGAGCTTATGAAGGAAGGCGTTCTGCTGTCTACAGTTGTTTTGCTTAGAGCAGTAATGTAAAGATAACTTGAAAATGTTTAAAAATATATATATATATATATATTCATCAGAGTTGATCTGCTTTTGTTTTAGACAAAACTACAAGAATTACTCCATGGAAACGAGAACACATTTCAGAATTCAAGCTGCCCTGCATCAAGCCAAATCCGCCCCAGAAAATGGAATGCACTCCGGAGCCTCGGCGGTGTCGTAACTTTCCCTTCTTTGATGTCCTGTTTGTGGCAGACTTTGGTGCAGACAATTACTGACACTTCAGAATTATTTTTCCTTCTCTTTCAAGTTGGTGAGAAATCAAGTCATTCTAAATTTTAGAGATGATACATAAAACATGAATGTAATAACAGGGCAAAAACTCTCAAACCAACCATAATGCATAAAACATTTGTTTTTCCAACAGTCGCTTTTCAAACACTTACATTTGTGTAGCTCTCCTCTCAATTGTGTGCCTTTTCTTGCTTGTTCGCAACATCTGCTAAGCAAGATATAACATCAAGTGCAACAACTGGAAAAACAAACCCTGCACCTTTTGGGGTTCACAGAATTAATCAGTTAGCTTTATGCACTCATCTGGATTCATACTGCTAGCAGTTGGGAACGAAGCATTGCTTTTTCCAAATATCTGCTTACTTGAAATGGTGTGAGAACAGTGCACAAGAAGCACAGCAAGGAGGAACTCTGAATTCTGGGCATTTTCAGTTATGCATAGAATGTCTTTTCTGTAGCTTTTAGTGGTTACTTTTTTGCTGCTATAAGAAACTTACCGGTGGAAAAAAGCCATGCAAGTTTCTTGATTTCCTTCAGTCTTGTCTTCATGTCAAGTCTGCTGCTTGTCGTGGCTGAATGATTTGTGGGGGGGTCGGGGGTGGAGAAAAAGATGGTGGCAAGATAAAGCTTTACTGCTTTGAAAAGTTAAAGAATGGGTGGACTTTATGAAACAGTTCTGTCATCAGAACAAATGTAATTTAAAGTTTTCATTGTATTTAAAGCACAAGTCCTTGAAGGTCACTTAAGAAACAGCAATATTCCACTGGATGCAGAGCAGTGTGCAGTCACTGTGGCAGTCACATCCTCCTTACAGTGGTTGTTGATGGGTTTGCCTGCTTGAGATGCCCGTGTTTGAAGAGATGCATGGCATTGTTTCCTATGGTAAGGTGCTCAAGTTGGAGCAGGCTCTCCTGACACAGTGCTCTGCCCTTTACAAAAGAGAGCAATTTTCCTTTTTGCTTTTTCTTGATGTTTTTGAGAATCGTGAGGAAGGAGGTGTGCTGAGAACAGAGCAAAGGGCTATAGCTCCATTCTGATGCTGTCTGCCCTATCACTGCTGCTTTTCTGCAGAACTGGTGCAGCCAGAAGTAACACATTTTCACAGTACTTAATGCTCTCGAAGCCAGCTCCGTGCTTGTACACCTGTATTTATTGAGGACACTCTTCTACCTCCCTTCTGAGAGAGATTCTTCCCAGTAACCTGTTCTGATGTGTGGAGACGGGAGGTTTTTGGTGGCCCTTTTTCTCCAATGGAGATGCTTGTCAGGGAGATTCATATAGAAGTACCTCATGGTGAATATTCTTGCTAAAGTGATTGTTCCTAGCAAAAGAGAAAATTGACAGTTTATAGCTCTGCTTTTACCTCTCCTAAGGAAATGTCATTGTTTTATAATGCAAATTAATACGCAGGGAGACAGAACCACCTGTTCCTCAACACTGAGAACTTGCATTGTATTAAAAATAGACACCCTTTATAAAACTCTTCTCCAGTTAAAATTATAGATGAAAAATTCATTTTTTAAAGTGATTTTCTCGTATAAATCCAGTTCAGGTAAATATCTCAGATACAACTCAGTATGAGCAGTTAATGCTATTTACATATTGCACATCAAAATTTAAGTGTAAAAACTCAGTCATTCTTTGTATAGAATAAAAAAAGATTCTTGTTCTATTCCATGCATATAACGCCTCTTCTTCCAGTTGTGTCCTTCTGAAATATTTTGGCAGTCTCAGCATCTTCTGAGCAAGCAATGTCATGAAAATTAGGATCATTTGTACTGTGCAGAAAGTGAACAGTCCTTACGACCTTAGATTCATCTCTCAAGGCCACTGAAATGCCCTTTTGGAATTTTACCACAGCTGAGTTTTGCCCATGCTCTTCACAAAGGACACGCTGTGCACTGCACACTCAGCTCCCCTGATTCTTTGCCACAATGAAAATCCCAAGGTTTTCATAGTCATCTTTGGTTGAGCACAAATGCCATTGGTATCTGGGATTGCCCATCAGGCTGCATAACCTTCCCATTGCTTCTGAAACTGCTGCATTCTTCTGAAGGAGCTCTCCGGAACTGTGTGTTGCTTTATCAGTCTGGAGCACCAAGTGCAGTGGATTAGGGAAAGCACAGTTGGTGTGAGAAGTTCTCAAACAGCCTGAAGCTGTATTCACCTACAAGAAAATAGTGGATATCACAGTGGTATCACAAGTCAAGGATTTTCAGCGTGGCCCAAGATTCAGGAAAATATTCCTTTCAGGTGGATAGAGTAAAGGCCTCATTTGCAGAAGCAATTCTGTGTTCAAAGTCTGTGTACCACTCAGAAATGCTCATGTGATAAGCTTTAGCCAAATGCTGGGTTGAACTCTGAATCCTCGGCAGAGCCGGAGGGGTCAACCAGACAGAAACTTGCTCTCACAGCAGAAAGCAGAAGCTCAGTAGTACTAAGCCAGCAGCATAGGAGCCTGCTTGAATTTGTTACTGATGCACAGTTCTGTTATGGTCTGCAATTAATGCATCATGGATTATTAAAGACTGCCCCATTCTAGCAGTGCTTTTCTTTACACAGCATTTGAAACTTTGTCTTTTATAAAACATAGGATTATATCAAGTATTTCCTCCCATTTCACATTGATTTTTGGCATTGCATTCTGTAGTAAGTTCAGTGCCTTAATATTTCTTGTGATCTATGGCCTGGATCCAAGGTAGCTCGAGGATGATGGAGTGGCAGCTTGCCTACCTCTGGCCCAACAGAAGCAGCTCCTTTGTGAAACCATGCTTCCCCAGGGGGCAGCTCAGAAAGCAAAAGGCAATCCAAAGAGCTTAAACACAGCACTCTGGACCTCCTGCTCCACCTGCAAGATGCATCGCTTTGCTTCTGTAGCAAAAAGCACAGCAGCAGTGCATGTGTGTGTGAAACGGTGAAACAATGTGTTCTACGCAGTTCCCCCTCTGGGAGGAAGAGGAGCAGATAAAGAGGTGAGTCACACTGTTTACTGCTCTACAGGAAAGTGGTTAATGGTTGGAAACGTCACTGATGAACAAGATTGGAAAACCTGGACAGGCTGGAAATGAACTCACTTCTTTACTCATTATATTCTGCAGACAACCTTTTGTGATAGATAACATGCAGACTATGTATCGGAAAGTTCTATAATTGAATGATTTGTCATCATAAAATACCTTAAAAGATGCTTGCTAGATTTGCTCTGGTGTTACAAAAAAAAAAAAAAGAAAAGGACGTACTTTAAGTCCAGTCCCTGTCTCTTACGAAAAGCAACAGAGCTAATAAATATCTGTGTTGCACTGTGGTAAAAATCTGCATAGTGTTTGCTCCAAATTCAACAATGTTTTTGTAGGACTGGGATTCATTCCATTACTTTCTGGGTTTTTGTCATCTCTGGACCTACTTACATTCATTGCTGGCTGAACACAGGCAACACGTTTGCTTAGAATTATGCATTGTGCTGAATTCCACTTGCTTTAGCGCTCCTTGACTACTACACAAAAAGAGTACAAAGCGTTCACAAACACCCAATATGCTGTTAATGGGGTTCTTCAATTTAGAAAAAGAAAGAAACAAACATTTATCTCATGGTAGTCAAGTACTGGGAGAACGTTTTCAGGTCTGTGGCTGAAAAGAAATGTCTGTTTTTCACATCTCACTTTTACATAAGTCTGTTTCTTAGTAATTCATCCAAATAGTCATTGGAATCAAACAGGCCATAATATTTACTGAATTTTAGAAGAAACAGATGATTGAATGTTGCATCCACATTCTGTGCTTGTGAGAGAGCCAGTGATGGTTACAGTTACTGATTTAAATAAGGTAGCTAGGCCTTGTCTTTCTGACTGCTGTTGAAATAATTGAGGTTATTACAGAAATGCTGGCTTGAGTATCATTGCTACAGACTGGTTTTAACGCCTGTCTGTGATGCTGCCTCGACTTTATGTAGGTTTGCTGTTGGAGCAGAGGGCAGAGCTCAGGGCTGAGACCTGTGAAAGGCAGCACAGCTGTGGCTATTTGGGGTCCAGCTGTGCTGCTGTGTGTATGCTTCTGTACACATTCTATAGACTCTGCTTTTGCAGAGGGCTGGCACAGAAGTTATCAGATGCTTCTGTGTTTGCAATAATGCTGTGTCAGTCTGTGTTGGTGATGGAGAGTGTGGAAGGTGTGCAGAGCTCCAGCACCTGTGTGTGTCTGAGAGCAGCACTTTGTGCTCTGTTGCGGTGCCTGGTGACCAGGAATCTGAGTTTGCTGCTGGATCTGAGCTGGATGGTTGCAGAGCTCAGGCCTCCTTGTGTGTGAAATACCTGGACTTGAGGCACAACAATGCTGGCTGTGGCACTGATGTTGCGTTCATCCTGGATGTAAACAGGGAAATAATGTCATCTGCCTGTGGGCCAAAATCTGCCTTTGCTATTGCATATTCTTCGTGATGAAAGATCTCTGATCCTAGTGTTATCTCCAGCTGAATGTTCAGAAGGTGGTTACCAGGAGGAAAGTGGAAATGCAGGATAACTGTGAAGCATAGGAAGAACTTTGGTTTGGATATTCTATACAGCAGCTGAACTTGGGGTTCTGCTGGGGCAGGTGGCTCAGGTGTGAGCCTTTGAGCTGCAGCGTTGTGCGGTGCTCACCTCTCATCCAGTGCTCACCTCTCATCCAGCACTGTGCAGGGCACACAGATGGAAGGAGCCATTGGCACCTTGGATGGTGGGCTGTGCTGCTGGAGCTGTGCTTGGTGGTGATGGAGCCATGGCTGCAGCTGTGGGGTGAGCTGGTGTTTGCAGTGGTTTTCCTGACCACTTGGTGAGGTGCCAAATGGCGAAATGGCAGAAATACATGTCACAGTATATATTAGTGTATTATAGGTGTAAGTTGCAGAAGACTTTGTGTAGCCAAAGCTTTTTAAAAAGTTATCAGAGCTATTTGATCTATTAACATCAACAGTGAAGAAAATTAAATAACCATGTGAGAGAGACAAAGCAAAAGCTTGGACACCTTTGGACGTGATGCTTTGGAAAGCACAGGGAGGTGAGGAGCTTTCCTGCTGGATCCGGGAGTGTGTGACATACAGCCTTCTGCAGGGAGGCACCCCAGAACACAGAGGCAGTGTGGAGGCAGTGGTTGTACCTCACTAGAAAGCAGCTCTGTGCTGCAGAATGAAGGAAAAGTGGAGCCCTTCAGCAGAAGGTGGCAGGCTGGCAGCACCTGTGTGTCCCATGAGGTGGAGCAAGGCCTGCTTCTGTCCAGAGCAAGTGCTCAGTTGGAATGCTTTCGTTTGTAATAAAAACATTCTTTGGTGTTTCAGTGCTGCAAAGAACATTTTTATTAAGGTGTTCGTTTTTGTTTTTGTTTTTCCAGTTGAGGATGGAGAAGGACTGGAGGGTTTTGGTTGGTTCTTGCATGGCCGATCCCCTTTTGCTGGTTAAAAACACGTACCTTTGTGCTGCTGGAAACACAGCAGGTGTTTTCAGTGATACTGTTTTCATTTATACAGATTTCTTCCTGCAGCTTTACATGGCTGTAAGTGGATACGCAGAGCAGGTACTGCAATAGTCAGACTGACAGCATGCAAACATGGTCATTTCTTCTACTTAAATCTAGAAGATGCTTTTGCAGATTGTATTTGGAAGTTCCTTTTACAAAGAGGTATAAACTTTACATTTCATACTGAGAATTTCAAAGAGTCAATTTAAATCTGCAGAGGACAGTTAGGCATAAATAATGGTCTGAGATGCACTGTATGTAACAGAAGTTAATCCTTGAAGCTAATTTTTATTCTGGCTATTAAGTGCTCTGTGGGATGAACTTTATGCATTTATAGGTTATCCAATATTTGTATTTTTTCAGCAAAAATAGGGTGTTTGTGACATGCTGTACTTCCAGCTGCCCAGCAGCCACTTTGCACGTCCCTTCAAACCCAGGATTGCACCTCAGCTATGTTTGGTTTCAGCCATCTCAGTTTTGTTTAACTGACTCCGCTGTGTTTTCTTTTTACCACGACTGCACAAGAACAGGAAATGGCGAAGTCTTGAAGCTGTGGCAACTCAAATCCAGGTATTTCACAATCCCTCTGCCTGGGCGCATGCCCTCGTAGTGCTGCAGAGAGGGCTTTCAGCTTCCCAAGCATACAATTGCTGTCAGCCCTGGGAAGCTGAGAGACAGAGCTCTGAAAACCCTCAGTGGTTAAAGCCTTCTTCCACCTCCAGCTCTTCTTGAAGAAATCCTCTGGGTTTATGTACATGTTTACCTCTCAGATTTACAAAATGAACTGGCAGAACGTAGTAAGGATGATCATCTTTAGACATAAAATGATTAAAATAATAATTCCAGTAGCATGCAAGTATTACAAGCGTAAAGGTCTTTATAAAACTAAGTATCTGTTACTTGCCATTGCATTTCTTTTGCCTCAGCAGGAATTTTGCTTTCTTTTGTTGTATGAGACAAAATCCCTTCTGTAAGCTGCAGATACACCTCGTGCCTTCCCTGCTGGAACAGCAGTGCCCTCATCCCCACCTGCTCTGGTGCTGTGGCTGCTCTCAGTCTATAAATGGGACGACGCACTGCTGCGGTGTCTGGCGGTGATGGGGTGCACAGATCTT